ATATACAATACTGTAAATTCCAGGTAGCCAATCTGTTCTTACCAAGTACCTGTGACTTCTGCCAAACTCAGTAACCAACCTGTGGTTGCAATTTGACAAATGAAAATAGTTCTGAAAAGAATGTTGTTTGATATTTTTATTTAAACAGCAGAAAGAAAGTGAAACAAAGATTTATGTCTGAACTTCACTCCTTCCTCAACGACGGGAATGACTTTGCTCAATCAGATAATGTTTTTCGAACACTGGAAGAACAGTTCCTCAATTTTTTGCACCATTTCACAATGTAACAGCTACAGGCACAAGTTTAATCTACTTTATTAGCAGGTTCTCCATCACTTTCTTAAGTCTAACAACCGAAAACATAATAACTCAAGCCCTGGTGTGTAATGTCTGCAGATTTCCATAGTGTGAATACTCCTACTGTGGCCTTTTTCAAAGTTACCAATATGATGTCACCAAAGGTGGATTTGGGAGAGAGATGTAGCCAAGGATCATCATGTAGCATGGCCCCTCTATGGGTCTATAGAGGTAAATAACCGTGAAAGCATAGCCAACCGTTAAAGCAAAGTAAAACAATTAGGAAGTGACAAGCTTTGAGTATTTATTACCTTTGTTTTTTATATAATTATTTCATTGTAAGTTGATGTAATTTAATTTTTTACCAGGGGCTGCGTTTGACAACTATCTCACCAACTTCCAGGGCTGGGGGACTCCTGCTCCAGCCCCCCTGACTGGGCTCCGGAAGTGGAAGTGCCTCCCACCTTTCTTGCCCTTGGTGACAGCCCAGCCCTGCTGTCTCTTGGCAGAGAGGGTTGATCGTAGGTCCCCAGATAGATACCTGGGTGAATTGCCACAAGTGTGTGAGTCTCAGGCCGGAGTTTTTCTTTGACATTGCTTCTCTAATTGCTGGTTTGAAGGCATTTCCAGCCTGAGTGAAGAACACAGTGGCATCTTCTAAGATAAAGATTATCTCTGCTCCCTGAAGCCACACTGGGAGCCACCTTAAAAGAGGACCCTGATTTAGTCATTTGACTAACTTTGCCTAAGAATGACCCAAGGAACTTGTTAAAATGCAGTTCCTGGACCCCCTACCTGGTGATTAGGATTCTGAGGAAGTCAGCACATCTAACCAACACTTGGAACGGATCTGATGGAGGCATGTGCAGCCCACACATTCAAGAACCCACGTTCAGAGCAGCTTCTCTCCAGAGCTGCCCCGTGCCTGCTGCATAAGGAACCCTGCAGTCTGGCCTGGAGATAAGCTGAGCCCGAGCCCACAGCTTAAGTTTCCTTCAAGGGGAAAGGAGAGGTCACCAGAAGCTGCAGGAAGGCTCAGCCAGGACTAGGGGTAGGGGAGTGGGGGAGGGCAGAGGAACTTGGGCTGTTGGATCCTCGACCTTTGCCCTTTGAGGTCTGTTTGTGCATTTGTGGGCTTACATGTGTTGACTGAACTGGACCTTGTTGCCTGGAAGCTTTTATTAGTTTTCCGAGATTTATGATCAGCACTGATTTAAAGGCAGCTACCTTTTATTGTCTGCTAAGGGACAGGTGCTTTCCCTGCATTACTGGTTATCCTCCCTTCAACACTGCAGGTCCGGCAGGCCCTCTGTTTTTACACGTGAGGAAGACAGCAGAAGCCAGGATGAGCCCAGGACAGTCTGCCTTTAATTTGTCATATGTATTTGAGAGCAGGGCTTTCCAAATTTCAGGTTGCAATCCATCCATTCATGATTCCCTTCCATCATATTTTTGAAACTTTCTTAAGAAAATTATCAAAAACGTATTAAAAATAGTACTGTATCAATCAGAATTTTTAAATGAAATATAATCAAGTAGATCGTCACATGCTTATCACATGATGATTTAATATTAGTTCCTGAAACTTTCGTTTCTGTGAAATACATTTATTTGTGTGTGGGGGTGTCAGGTCACAGAGTAAAATGCATTTCTTCCTCAGATCACGGTCAAAGAGGTTTAAAAAACTCCGTTTCAGAGATTCCTTTAATGGATGATAAATTGGCTCAATGACCTAGAAAATTCTGGCAGGTCTCTATGTGGAAAATGTAAAACAAAACCAACTCAGCCATGAGAAATCCATCATGTGGGTCATTGCTGCCTCCTATTTGTGGATGTTTGTCATTTTAATGGCTGAGCCTTTTATTAGAGTCAACGCTGGGTTCAGGTTGGCACTCAGAGAACATAGTTACCTTCTGGCATCTTTGAAGACTCAGAGTGACTTCCCACCACCAAAGAGAAGCATGTGCCATGTGTCCCAGGGGAGGCCTGGCCCCCTCCCTGAAAGCAACCAGGGCCTGTTCTCCACCCATCGAGGACTTCTCCAGCTGCTGCATTTTATTCTGAGACTAAGGAAAGGGGAGACCCCAACACCAGGGCCCCATGTGCTCGGCCTGTGGGTCTGAGACCACCTGCATCAGAATGACCAGGGAGCTTCTGTGAAGTACATCCTGGTCCACGCCCCCAACCTGCTGAGTAGATTCTGGGGAGGGGTTGGGGAATCAGTGTTTACTCGAGTTCTCATGTGATCCTGAAGCTTCTCAGAGCTGGAGAGGCACTTGCTAGCAGTGGGCTTGGTGTGGAACATCGGATCCCAAGCCAAGTTTCAGGGCTCCTACCCCAGGGGCAGCCTGCCTAAAATTTTTGGAAAGAAACTCTATAGTAGACAAATCTGCCCAGTCAGCTGGCACCCCTGAAGCACGCTGAGCTACTCTAGCGCACGTCAAAGCCGTATGTGTTTCATTCATTTTGAGCTGTTCCTGTTTTATTTGGGGAACACTGGGAATTGACAAAGACGCCCCTTCTGGGGCACTGTTGTGAGCCATGCTTGGGCACAACAAGCCATGCCTGGCAGCAACTGTCCACAGGACCAGCGCTCACCCGGACGGCTGGTGATTCCATGCCAGCCAGGGACGTCTGGCATCATCGTACAGCCTCGCCTCCCTCTCTTCCCTGCTAAGTCAACTGTCACACTCCCTCTGACAGTCACCCACTCGTCCCCAAGTGCCAGAAGCCCAGCAATGCAAGGCTTCGTTGGATAATTTTCAACTAATGACTGTGGATTTCTCCTTGTCCCCACTCCAGCATGAGCCACTGGCCAAGCCAGGGTGACAGGACTTTTTTCAGTTCAGGGCAAGAACCGGGGTTTTCTGGCTCCCCAAAGACTGGTATCTTACAGCATTGAGCTAGATGCTATTCCAACATCGAGATACAGGTGAGGGGGTCCCCCAAGTTCTGCTACCTCTCCAGGATCTTCATGGGCATGGGGACAGGGGTGGGTGGCCACACTCCTCAAGGAATGTGTCTGTCTGCCCGCTGACCACTGTCGCTTTCCTCTCCCCTCCTCCTTCTCGTTGCAGGACACAATGGGCTGGTGGCTGTGAGTCCCTCCTGCTCTGCCCCGCTTCATTGGTCCCTGGGTGTGTGGCCCTCAGCAGGAGTGTAAGGAAGCGACAGGATGAATGCCGAGGGGGAGAAGGAAAGGCCAGCTAGTCCTCGCGCCCTGGTGCTGACCAGCAGCTGGCTCGAATGGACATCTGCAGTTGCTAAGGAGGATATCAGGGGCTCCCTTGTTCTCCTCTCCTTAATCCTCATAGGTTTCCCCCATGACCTTTCAAAAGCAAGGTGATAAATAGCTGGGAAAGTGTGTAATGGGCATAGCCGGGGAGGCAGGTTGGAGCTTGCAGGGTCAGGTAACTGGGGCTGGGGGGGCCTTTGACTCCAGATAGTGGGCTGTCCTTGTGTACAGACCCCATATTCCCCAGCCAGGTTTAGGCCAGGTACCAACCTGGGGAACACAGCAGCTATACACGGTCCAAAGTGTGCCCTGGAGACAGCGAGGAAGCCGACCTAGCAGAGGAAGTGGGGCCCTGCCCCAGCACAGGTGGCTTCTGGGTCCCAAGCTGAGCCAGGCCAGGGTTACCCTAAGGCTGTGCTTCTCAGACCAGAGTCCATGTACCCCTAGGAGACCACAGTGTGTGCTACAGGGCTTCAGGCCACCAGCCTAACATGGAGCACCTTCCTGAAGCAGCGGCTGCCCTAGGGTATCAATGCAGGGGCTCAGCAGCATGGAGAGCCAGGAGACCTGTGTTAAATCTTAAGGCTTTTCCTGACACAGCAGTTTTACTTGAACATTTCACAGGGGACATTATTTAACTCAACCGATCAGTAATTTAAAACATTGATTTTGTATTAATACCAACGTGGGTTTGTCCCCAGCTCTGCCACTTTCCATTTGCAAAGGTTAAGGCGAGTCAGTTTATCTCTCTGAGCCATGGTAAAATGAGAATTAAAATGCCCACCCTCACCGAATTGAGGTGAAGGGAATAGATGATGTGCCCCAAGGAGCCAGCTCATAAAGCCTTACACAAATGGTGAGCATGGGGACAGCGTGGGGTGTCCCAGGATAAGAGGTATAGGAGGAACTTAATTCTAGGACACGGACTTCGGTTGACTGATTTGGGGAGAGCCTAAGGAAGTAGGGGTCGGCTCTAGATTGGATACTGTCAGAGTGCGGGCAGCCCTGTGAGCAGGCATCTCAGTAACCGTGTGTGCAGGGAGGGGAGACTAGGGTGAGGAGGGCAGTCACTGTGCACACGTAGCATCACTCATCTTGGCCGAGAGAGATGGTATTGTGGTGGCCCAGTAGACCCTGTCTCGTTTGTGCTTAGACACAATTGTGAAGTGGGCTTGCTCTGTCCCACTTTGTCGTGGTCTAGATTATCCCTGTCTGCGGTCATCATTATGAGTGGGAGAAACAGGGCTTACCTCTGAGGGCCAGGCCACCTTCTGAATGTCATGTTGGGCAGCTCTTTTCTCCTTTCTCGTTAGGATGTGTCAGGAGTGTAGATTCTGGGTCCAGACCGCCCGGGTTCAGTTCCTGACACCTCCACTCATCAGTTCTGTGATCCTGAGCTATTAGCCTCACTGAGCCTCGGTTTCCTCCTCCGTGAAATGGGGAGAATCACGGTGCCTACCTCTAGGGTGGATTATATGAGATGATGCTCGCACGGTGTCTGGCACATTGTAGTAGCCAAGCGAACTTTTTAGAAAGTCTGCCTTCAGAGCTACACCATCCCTGTTGTCACCTTGGGGGTGGTAGCTGCAGTGGTGTGAGGACCAGCATTTTAGGTCTGTAGACTCAGGGCTAGTTCCATTCAACAAATAGTTATTGATTTTCCACTAAGTGCTAGAGAAAAGTTAATCCCCCCCCCGCATCATTTGTTCCCCAAAATAAGGCTGTGCTATAATCATGGCTTCATTGATTGAACACGTCCCATGTGCCAGGGACCCTGTGTAAGCCCCTTCTAGGGACCAGCTCAGAGAATTCTCACAGTGACCCCATGAAGCAGTCAAAGTGGGTGTTATTATCATCAGCCCCATTTTTGCACATGAGGAAACTGAGGCTGGATGGATTAGGTACTGAGGCCGCCCCAGCAGAAAAGAGAAAGAGGAGTGGAACCTGGGCGGTCTGGCTCAGCACTCATAAGGCAAGCTCACGGTGCTGCCTGCCTCAGGCCAGTGAGGAGAGCGAGGCTTGCCACCCCACCTCCCCAGGAGATGAAGAGTTCACAGAGGCACTGGACCTTGCAGGAGGGAAGGTCACCTCAGGCTGGGAAGTGGAGGGGCAGGACCAATCATGTCAGGTCTTAGAGAACATCTCGGGGGCGGTGAACATTTACAGGTGGCAGGGGGAAGGGCATCTCAGAGGCAGGAACAGCTTGAGCCAGCCCTGTGGTCAGGACCCTGAGAGTGTGGGTCAGCCCCCAGGGGTAAAGGGAGGGCCCTGTGTGCCCCGCCCCAGGCGGCATACCTGCAGAGACTGGGGGTGAACACGGCAGTCTTCGAGAGACGCCACGTGATCGGGGGTGCAGCTGTCACAGAGGAAATAATCCCAGGTGAGCCAAAGAGGTGGGTGAGGGGCATGGGGGGTGACCACTGGTGACCCCTGGTTACTGTCTTCATCCGATTCATTTTCAGGGTTTAAGTTCTCCCGAGCATCCTACCTCCTCAGCCTGCTACGACCGCAGATTTACACCGAACTGGAGCTGAAGGTAGCATGTGTGTGTGTGTGTGTGTGTGTGTGTGTGTGTGTGTCCACCTGCTCCATGGCTTGGGGGCTGGGGAAGTGGGCAGTTGCTATTCTTCCCTCCGAGGGTGTGTCTATCTCCCATGGTCTCCGTAGTGCCTGCCCACAAATGGGCTTTGTCTGGCCCACCCAGTGTCTTAAAGATCAGGAAATTTCATACACAAATCAAACCTCTCGAAGAACAAGCTTTGTCAACATCAGGCCCATGTTCCTACGTGCTGTACCGGCTGGCCCTTTACGTGGATTCGGTCCCAGCTCTTCTTTGTCACATCACTTCCTGGGGTCTGTCCAGCCCCCATAGGAAACCTGCTAGGACCCTTGGGCATCTGAGTTTGCAAAGCTGCCTTAGGACCTGAGCTGATTTCTGCCCTCATTACACATGAGAGCCTGTCACCGTCCTCGGCAGCTTGAGCAGGAAGTCGGACTCGGGGACTTTCACCTCTCTGGGCTCCTGGGCCATTTTGAGGGCATCCTGAGGACTCACAGTCTGCCTCTGTCGACTCCTCTTAGCCTCACCTTGGTCCACAGTCTTGCCCCCTGCCCTTTCAGATTCCTTCACCCCCTCACTGCCTCTTTGACAAACTTGGTCATGCATTCCGGGAGCCCACTTAGCTTACCTGCTTGGTGCCTCTGTCACCCACCACTTGGAGAAAGGTCCCCTGTGCTATCTGTATATGACGCTGACGGCACTTCAGCACCAACTTTGCCCTAAATTTTAAATTAATAAGACATTAATCCACTGACACCCATTAAATAAATTATTCTTTGTGCCCCTAAGAGAGACACACAGAGAGAGCACACACCTGTCACCAGCCAGGACTGGATGAAACCCTGCCAAGGCCTGGGAATGGGTCTGTGGACTTCAGTCCAAACCAGACGATAGGTGAAGGCAATTTTCTGACACACCAATTATGCAGAGTGGCAAGTGTGAGGGGAAGGGTGGGGGTAGACCCTCCTTTTAAAAATCTAACTTATGAAAGCTGAGGATCACAGAACAGAAATTTTCACATAATTATTCTCTTTATTTTTTCTTTTTTAAATAATTTCCTGGGATTCCTTTTAATTTATTTTTTTGGCTGCATTGGGTTTTCGTTGCTGCGAGCGGGCTTTCTCTGGTTGAGGCGAGCGGGGGCTACTCTTTGTTGCGGTACGCAGGCTTCTCATTGCAGTGGCTTCTCTTGTTGCGGAGCACGGGCTCTAGGCACACGGGCTTCAGTAGTTGTGGCTCGCGGGCTCTAGAGCACAGGCTCAATAGTTGAGGCACACGGGCTTAGTTGCCCTGCGGCATGTGGGATCTTCCCGGACCAGGGCTCAAACCCACGTCCCCTGCATTGGCAGGCGGATTCTTAACAACTGTGCCACCAGGGAAGTCCATTGTTTTTATTTTTTAAAAAAAGTTACTCATTTGAAAATGGTATTCTCATAGGGTTCCTTTAACTAGCAGCTCCCAAGTGAATTGAGTATATCCTTTGATCTCTGATCTTGGGCTGCATTAATAGGAGAATGGTGCTCAGATCAAGGTGGGAAGCAGTCCTGCTGCATGATGCACAGAACTAATCCCATCCGGAGTGCGGGGTACCTTATTTTAACAGGACGTTGACAACTCAGAAGATACCTATAGGAGGGCAACTGTTCCTCTTTCTAGGAATATTCTGTTTCCAGTACAATAATAAAGAGCATTTATTTTACCAGTGTCATATCTTGGGCTACGAGCTTTCATGCTCTGTCAATTTGTCCTCGTCTGTGAGACGAGAGCAGATAGTGTCCCCATTTTATGATGAGGGAACCGAGATTCAGGGGGGTTAAGTTCGCACACTAGGAAGTGACCAAGAACTTGAGCCAGGTCTAACTGACTCCTCCTCGTTCTGTGAGGTGCCGCCGCCGTGGGCACCTTGATAGCCACCCAGCTCAGCCTCGTGCACCTCCAGGCGCTTTGCCGATGACAGTGGGCCAGGTCACAGACACAAGCTCTTCCAGCAGCTCCGGCCTCGGCAGAGCACGGGGCTGAGATTGCAGGCTCTGGAACCTAACTGGTCGGTTTTGAATCCCTGCTCTGCTGTTACCAGCTGTGTGACTTGGCCTGGTGGTGCCTCCTCTTCCTCCTCTGTAACGTGGAGGTGTAATAGTACTGGCCTCATAAGGCTATTGTAGTGGTTGGTGTTTGCTCATCATTACTACAGTGCCTGGGGCATGGTCAGTGCTCGACAACTGTCAGCTAGTATTACTGTGTTGGCCAAAAAGCTCATTCGATTTTTCCATGTTACAGGAAAATCCGAGCGGACTTTTTGACCAACCCAATATTATGCCCATTCGTCAGTTGAGAAAACTGAGGCTCCAGAAGGACCTGTGGCCTGCTACTTCCTATCAGACCTTCCCACTGTGGGCCTGTACCCGATTAGACTGAGCTCTACTTGAGCCAGAGGATGACTCCGCCAACCTGCTTGGGGCCTCACTGGGCCTGTTTTCCAAGTCTCAATTTCCCCAGCTGTCGATGAGATCATCTCGCAGTTCTATCCACCTGGATAGTAAGCTTGCTTTTACAGTGGCCCCACAGTGAGTCGTGGGATCCCGACAAGGAGGGCAGAGGGGAGGTGGTGTCTTTCATCCTGTATCAGCCAGCAGCTGCCTTCCCCAGCTCTCCCTGGACCAGCCTTGACCTCATTCAAGTGGCACACCCTTGTCCTCCCTCCCACCTGCACTCACCTTCTGGCTCCCAACCCCATCCCTTTGCTCCTGCTTTCCTCAGAAATCTCTCTAAGGCAGGGCTCTCAAACTCTCAGGTCCCTCAGAACAATCTGGGCAACTGGTGGGAAAGTGGTTCTTGCTCAGAGGAACTAAGGGTGATTCTGTGGGACTGTGGTGGGCCCAGGAGCCAATAATTCTGAAGCAGGAGGACCCCAGAGCACAACTCTGAGAACCACACCCCTTAAATCTCCCATTTCTCTGCTCCCTAATGCACGGCTTGTCCCTTCCCAGTAATTTCCATCCAGGACGGCTGTACGTGCTGAGAAACCCCATGGGTAAATCAGAAGCGTTTTGTTTTTTACAAGAGGGAAACTGCGTGATCTGAGCAAATCTAATGGGGATAATATAATGGTGGTTTAACAGCCCCTTCTTATTCTGACACCACATCATCAAAACCATCAAGAATAACAACGGCTCCCTTGATGAGAGAAAGTCCTGGAATCAGATAAATAAATTAATCCTGTTCAATTATTGAGACTTGAAACAACCCTTGGGATCCTCTTGGGTCCCTTTTTCGGTGAGGGGAGGTTATTGATTCATTCATTCAGCAAATGCTTCTGAGCACCTGCCCTGTGCCAGGCCCTGGGAGAGGCATGTGGGGAGACAGCGGCGAGGGAAGGGGGCAAGGCTTCTGCTCTTAGTGAGAGGACTTCAGGGAGAGGTAAGTGCCACCTAAAGAAAGGAAAATAAAGCAATGTGACAGTGAGGAACTGGAGGTCCATCCTGGACTGGTGACCAGGAAAACCTCCCTGAAGGGGTGACGTTTGAGCTAGCATTCAAATGCCAAGAAGTCACCAGCCCTGTGAACATCTGAGCAGAAAGCGTTGCAGTCAGAGGGAAGTGAAGGTGGACAGGCCCAAGGGGAGGGAAGGTCATGTGGCCGGAGCAGACAGTGCCCGGCCAAGAGGCAGCAGATGGTGTGAGAGAGGGCCAGGGGCCAGAGGAGACAGGGCCTCGCGCGCTGTAAGCAAGGGCCTGCGCTTTATCCTGAGCGCCGGGGACAGACAGCAGAGGTGTTAAATCGAGAAGTGGAGTGATGGGATTTATGACTTTATGAAAGGTCATACCACCTGCTGGATGGTGTGGATTGTGGTGGAAGCAGCCATGGTCGCAGGGTGGTGGCTCAGGCTGAGTCAGGGCGGGGACATACGGACCAGGTCTGGAGGCTGAGCTGTGAGACTTGGTGATGGATGTGATGCCAAGGGTGAGAGACACAGAGGAACTAGGGACGCCACCTGGGTGGGAAAGAGTTCACTGTATCAGGAGGAACCAAGCTGGAAGTTCCTCCAGTTTGGAATCAAAGGCATTCCCCATCTTAGTGTTAGAAAGGATCCTGCAGGTCTCCCAACCTGCCCCTACCAACGCTCAGACTCACCTCCACAGAACGCTCAACCGTGGAGACCCTGCCATCTGGAACACCTGTGGTTTGGGGAAACTTCTGCTGTAATTATTGGAAAAATCTCTTTTGGTTTCCTCGTGTTTTCCTAAAACTTCTGCTCACAGATCTCATTTCGGGGGCAGGGGATGGGGGTGGGGAGCTTGCTACTCAGGTGACATTTGAGCAAAGACCTCAAAGAGGTGAGGGAGCAGACCAAGAATCTGGGGGAAGAAGTCTCTAAACGCCAAATTCGTCAAGTCACACGTTAAATACTTACAGCTCTTTGTATGTCAATAAAGTGGTTTAAGAACAAAGAGGTCTCCAGCAGGAGCAGTAAGTCGTATTGGTGGAGGCAGCACAGGCCCTTTTTGTTTTATCTCCACCTTCTTTGAAGAAGTAAATATACTCTTGGAAAGTTCTGTGTGCTAGTCAAATATCCGTAAATCAAATCATATTTTCAGTGCATCAGGGGAACTCCCATTTAAAGTGACCCTGGAGTAAATGAGTCTGCAAAGTAAATAAGTTGTTTCCGATGTGAACGATTTATCCACCTTGTAAATATGGATTTTCACATGACCGTGGCTTTATTGTGTCTTTCTCAGTTTTAGTTATTATTTCTGAAATGGGGGCATTTAAAGACTAACACTGAGAGCCAGGGCTTTGGAGTCACAGGGGTGTGGTTTCGAAACCAGGATCCACCTCCCCATGTGACCTTGGATAAGTTACTTCACTTCTCTGAGCCTCTGCTGTGGCATTTGTACAATGAGGATGATATACTTACAGAGCTGTTGTGATGTAACCATTGTAAACCCTAGTACAGTCCCTGGCACTGGGTAGCGTGGCGTGGTATGGTATGGTCTGCCATAGGGTGCCTGGGCAAGAGGGCTTTTTATACACTTGTATCAAAAATAGGAACCAGGACCACAGGCCTTGGGAACCTGCATGCAGGTACCTAAGTGGTCACACAAACACAGAGAAGGGTCATGGGCAGATCCCCTCAAATGTTACCTGTGCTGTCTGTGTTCTGCAGAAACACGGGCTGAGGCTTCATCTTCGAAACCCCCACTCATTCACACCTATGCTGGAAGAGGGCACAGCGGGCAAGGTGCCCAGGTCCCTTCTGCTGGGCACAGACATGGCAGAAAACCAGAAGCAGATCGCCCAGTTCTCACGGAAGGATGCCCAGGTAGGGAAGGTGACCAGAGACTGATCTCCTCCATCTCAGCCTGGTGGCCGCTCTTGAAAAAAAATGGGCTTGGTTGGAGTTGTCCTACAGCAGGTTGTCAAAGGCCACAAGGGTGTGGACAGGCCACTTTATCCGCCCTAGGAAGGCTCCAGTCTGTGCCAGCCTTTGATCTTGGGCACTGCAAAGAGAAGGAGTGGAGGACAGTTGGTTAAGACCAGTGAACACTGGAGACCCTCAAACCTGTGTGTGTTCAGCATGAGGCCACTGTTCAGGTGGCCTCCGCCTGAATTTCAAAAGGGAGTCCACTGATATGTCCTTATGCTCTAAGTGCTTTCTAGCTCTCCTGCTTTCAGACAGAATTCCAGGTGGTCATCAATATTAAAGCACATGAAGGCCAGAAAGAAGGGGAGATCAGAGACAGTTAAGGATCGAACACACTGGATCAGGAATTTAGGACAAGAGCATCGTAATAAATATTCATTTATTTTGGCATCATCCCCTGGCAGCCCAAGGCAAGAATGTGTCCATGATGGCGAGCAGGTCTGGTGAAAGGGAGTACACACATCTGATGGAGAAGGCACATTTCTTTTCCTAGGATTGCACTGTGAGGAATTTGCTGGGTAGCTTTGTCTAGATGAGTCGTTGAATGTAATGGGCCCGGTGTGATTGGTTTTACAGACATAAAAAGATTCTTTGAATGGCCATTTTTTGTACCAAGCCTAGATACAAGCTGAAGGCACAGCATTAACTCATATCTTGGTGGAAACATTTTTATAAGAAGAACCTGGGTTAACCAATCCGTGTGTGTTGCTTTTTGTTGTGTTAATCTAGTATTGGGTAAAACCAAGAAAACCACAGACACAGCATCTCTCTTCAGCCAGTGGTTTCCAAACACTGGCTGATGATCAAGTCAACCCAAAAAAAGTGCTTTTCAAGTGATTCTTTTGCACAGTGAGTTGGGGTCCGCTGCCTACACCCTCTGCTCCAAGCCCTGCTCGTCTCAGATGCACTAGAGAGGATTCAGGACAAGGCCAGGTCCCTGGGCCTAGAGAGCAGTGGCCTTGGCCGTGTGTGGCTGGGGCCCTGTGTGCTGGTGACCACAGGAGCGGGAGGCAGAGGCCACATCCCACTGTGGAAAGTAAGGAGCTGAATTCTGGTTTTGTCTTTGCACGTTGTCACATTAAAGACCTGCTGCAGAGAAAGCTGTTCCCCTTCATTTTAATCAAGATTCTCCAATGTACTTCAACACAGAGCTTTTCTTTGTGTAAGAGTCGTTAAAGTTCCATGGGTATATCCATGAGTGTAGATGAACCAAAAATTAAAAGCTCTCGGCTGAGATAAGATAGGGCCTCGGGTACCACGGGTGCCCATCCTTGCTCCTGTCGCCCATCCAGGGAAGGGGGTGTGGGGATCATAACCAGGCTGTCGAAGTGGATTCTGTTGCGGGAGGTTGTGGGGTGAAGGGATGCAAGCTTCTGTCCCTGCTGATGACAAGAGGATGCGGGAGATTTGCAGCCCAGGAAGAACAGTCAGCATGCTGGAATACAGGCAGAGAGATCTCACTTTTATCAGTAAGATATAGAAAGACAGGACAGAGAGGAGAAACTTTTCAGTGGTTTTTGGTTTATCACAGAGACCACTTCCTAGGATACTTGAGGATTCCGTGGCTGACGACTGGTCTTGGCCTACATCAACCCCCTTGTCCCTGCCACTACATGGTGACCCTCCTACTACCCAGGCTCTCTCTGACCTCACCAAGTGTTGACATCAGCACACAGACCTAGAACTGGGGGTAACTCAGCACAGCCAGGCTGAGCCACACTGGGCGTGAGGCCTGAGGACTCGAGCCTCAGCTGGGGGGCAGCAGGCCACATGGGGCAGCTGGAGGGCCAAGCATGGGGACAGTGTCTTTGTGGGGTTCTAGACAATGGGGCCTTGACTCGGAGCTCTGTTCCAGGCCTTTCCCAAATATGAGGCCTTCATGAATCGCTTGGCGTTAGCCATTGACCCTCTGCTGGACGCAGCCCCAGTGGACATGGAGGCCTTCCAGCGGGGCTCCCTGCTGCAGAGGCTCAAGTCGCTCTCCACCCTCAAGCCCCTGTTGCAGGCGGGTAAGTCCGAGGGCAGGCATCTGGGCATGATGAGCACCTTCGTGTGATTGAGCCCATCTTCTCCACAATTGGACATAAGCCTGAACCTCCAAGGCAGCCTGCCAACTGCCATCGATTAATAGGGGCCACCTGGAGCACTTGAAGTGGCAACGGTTTAGGATGGCGTGCTCTGAAAATAGAGCCCGAGCCAAAGGCTTATGTGCAAGTGGTTCATTTTGAAGGGGGATCCCAAGGAAAGGAGGAGAAACGGGAAAGAGGGAGAGTCGATACCAGGGTGCATTACTGAGCTGGCCACCACTGTGGCTGGTGAGGTCCTTCCCTCTGAGAAGCTTAGGAAATGCACATGAGGACATGCCCAGGAGGAGAAAGGGGAAACATTTACTCATTGGGTTCTGTCCTCCAGTGGTCAGAGGTTGCCCCCTGGGGTATTAACTCCCACATGAGGCATTAACTTCTGGGTTGTGCATCCATGGGTGCCAAGTGGGTTCCCGTAGGTGTCCTGTCGTGGTGCCAGAGAAGCCCCAGGGAAGAAATGAAGAGGCACATCTTCAGGTCTGAGGTGGGATGCTGTCAGGTTGCACTGTGTGAAGCTGACCAGAGCCTGCACGGAGCTCGTCACCATAGGCATGGCTGGAATAAGAGATGGAGCCCAAGAGAGTTTGAAAAGATGCCCCCATACAAGAAGGATGCTAGATTATTGGGCTCAGCAAGAAAAAAATTCTGTGATGAATTAGTGATGTCTGCTGTGGGTATGAGAATGGAAGTTTCACCAAGCCTGCTATTATTTCCTACCACTCCTCTAGGGGACAAAAACCAGTTTAGCTTCTATATTCTAGAAAAATACTGCATCAGTTAGCTGTGGTCACAAAATTGCTGCATAACAGACTACAAAATTCCAGTGGCATATAAAAATAAACATCCATTTCTCAAGTGTCTGCATGGTTCAGCTGATCCCAGCTGGGCTGAGCTGATCTGGTCTGGTCTCATGCATGTGTCTATGGCTGGGGCAGCTCTGCTCCAGGTGTCTCTAATGCTCTTCTTGGAAGCCACAGGTTAGTCCAGGCGTGGCCTTCTTATGTCAATGACAGAAGCACAGAGGGCAAGCCCCAATGTGCAGGCCAGTTTCAAGCCTCTGACTGCATCACATCAGTAAACATTCCACTGGCCAAGCAAATCATTTGAGCCCAGAATCAAGGGGCAGGGCGGTCAGCTCAGCTAGGGAGAGAAGCAGTGCAGAGTTACATGGCAAAGTGTGTGGACACAGGGAGGGGTGAAGGGTCAGAGCCAGTAGAATCTACCACAGATGCCAAAAGTAGACATCGCCTCCCAGATTACCAGTCCAAGGAGCGTCATACAATAAACATTCATGTAGTAAATATTTATTGAGCATCTGCTATGTGCCAGGCACCAAGCTGGGCACTGGGGCTACAATGCCTAGGGTTCATGACCTCTGCCTTCAAGGTCCTAGTGCCCAGTTACTCTCGGAGATAGTTTGAATCAGTATCAGAGGAATGGATTAGCCATGCTGCTGCCTCCCAGGGCACGGCCTTACAGAACTCAAAGTGGGGGAATAAGATACAAATTAAAAATTGCCCCAAAATAATTCTAACAGGTAAAATGTATTAAGTGCCTATGGAAATGCTTTAGAAATGCTCTACATACCTCGTTTAATCCTCACAATAGCTCTTAGGGGTACAGAATATTTTGTACTCCCATTTTACAGGTGCAGAGACATTATGGATCAGAGTGTTCCCTTCTTTCCTGTCTCAGTTTACATTTTATGGATCTCCTCCTTTAGGTCGCATCCTGGGAGCCCAGCTGCCCCAGTATTACCAGGTCCTCACAGCTCCAGCTGTCAAGGTGAGGGGCTCCCCAGCCTCAGGCTGGACCTTGCAGTGAGGGGGCCTCTGCTCCCGAGGTAAGCCCTTCTCCTGGCTGTCTTGCTGTCCCAGGTGCTGAATCAGTGGTTTGAGTCTGAGCCTCTAAAAGCTACTTTAGCAACAGATTCTGTGATTGGAGCCATGACAAGTCCCTACATTCCGGGGAGTGGGTGAGTGTGGCAGGTGAGGTGGGGCAGCAGGAGTGGAGCCGATCCCCCCTCGAGAGCGTTAACTACCGTTCCCTGAGCTCACCCAGTGAGCCAGGCAGGAGGAAGCACTTCACACAGGATTCATTTAAGCCTCAAAGCAACACCTGAGAGCTGTGGTTCAAAGAAGGGAAGTATCCCTCCCAAAGTCACACAGCTAGTAAGTGGCAGAGCTGATTTCCAGCCCAAGTTGTCTGACCTGCCCTCAACCCCACCCTGGGTCTTCCTTCTTAGCCACTACTCCCTACTGCTTCAGTAGAAATACCTCTGTCCTGCCTCCTGTGATATCTCAACATGAGCATCTTCTTCCCTATCATCTATCTATCTATCTATCTATCTATCTACCTATCTACCTATCTATCATCTCTTCCCTTCCCACAAATCCCCGTTGCCTGTCCCTCTCCCGCAGATCCTTTCCCTGGCTTCCAGGACTCGCACACACACAGATACCTTCACGTGGATGGGAAGCTGCCTTTCCCCTTGTGAGCGGGAGGTGTGCTGACAGCCTCATCCGAGAGGGGGCAGTCAGACACAGTGAAGTGTGTAGTTGAGGTATGATTTAATGAGCCCCTGTAGGAGCAGGAATGGAGGGGTGCATGTGTGTGTTGTGTGTGTGTGTGTGTTGTGTGTTGTGTGTGTGGGGGTTGTGTGTTGTTTGTGTGTGTGTTGTGTGTGTGTTGTGTGTGTGTGTGTATTGTGTGTGTGTGTGTTGTGTGTGTGTGTGTGTGTGTTGGGATAGAGGATGCTGCCAAGTCTTGGGCCATTTCCAGTGCACCAGAAGATGCAGCTAGAAGCTGTCAGTGCGGCTTATCTCTCAAGGGATAAGAGCACTTTGGAAGTGGTTTTCCGGCACACACTAAGCCAGCCCCAAATTCCCCAGGGCCATGGAAAGGTGGGAGTTGGCAGCAGTTGCAACATCTTGGCCAAGATCAACCAGCCAATTTGGATTTTCCAGCTGGAGCCTCTGGTCCTTTTCTCTGTGGGTCTTCAGGAGGCTTAGCTACTGCCCAGTTTGTGAAATGGGCCTTTAAGTCATTTGTTTTTTCATTAATTCTTTCAATAAATATCGATGGAGCACTTGCCTGGGGACTAGGTCCAGGGACACGGTAGTGAATGGGGTTGAAATCCTAATGGGGGAGGTAGACACAGAGCAAGGAGTGGAATGGAGAGCTGTGGGCACTGTGATGGTGGGGCAACGTGGTCCAGGCTCAGAGAAGCCCCCCATGAGACAGAGATGTTTCATCTGAGACTCTAAGGACAGGAGGAATTAGCCAAATAAAAGAAGAGGGAGGAAGGGGCTTCTAGACTCTGGAACAGCACGTGCAAATGTAGGAGCTGCACGTGGATCACATGATCTATTCGAGGCACTGAGAGGTTTGGCTTAACAGAAGTGCGGGGTGTGGGGGGAGTGTAGGGAGGGACAAGGCTGACGAGCAGGCAGGAGCCCTGAAGGCCGGTTTTGGAGACTGGCCATCGTCCTCAGAGCACCGACAAGCCAGTGAAGGCTTGAAAAGAGCTGAGTGACAGGAGCATAGCTGAGTTTTGAGACTGGGCTCCAGGTTCTACGTGGAGAAAGGTCTACAGGGAAGAATGAGTGGGAGAAGTGGGTCTGATCAGGAGGACGTTACTGCAGCAACTTAAGAAAGAGAAGAGAATGGCCTGGACCAGGGAGGAAGCAGCAGGGAGTGGGGCCTTGGAAAGTTCTTTGGGAGGCACTCGACGATGTAGGTGGTGAGGGCCTAGTAGGAGGCAAGACTGACACCCAGTTTTCTGTTGGAAATTGAAGGTGCCATTCACTGGGATGGAGAAGACTGATGGAGAAACAGGTTGGGGAGTGGGGACAAGGGGATGGGTTTAAGATGCCTGCCCAAAGCCATGCCAGTGGAGATATCTGTGGGTAGCTGGGCATACAGGCTGGCACTCAAGAGAGAGCTGGAGAGGCAGGTTTGGGCATCGCTGCCACATTGTTGGAACCAAAGCTCTGCCCCCAGATGTTTGCAGGGGGAGAGGATGCAGAATGGGAAGCGAAGGGCTCTTGCAAGAGTCTCGAGCTCATTTAAAGGATAGTCGGACAGGGCTGGATGGGGGCAGGGAGGGGCTGAAGATACAGGACGGGAAGGACTCTCTGCACCTAGAACTCTGAGGAGATTAAACCCCACCTCCAGCCACTGATTCTGATGATCTGTCCTCAGGTATGTGTTACTCCATCACGTGATGGGGGGTCTGGAGGGGATGCGGGGGGCCTGGGGCTACGTCCAGGGTGGCATGGGTGCCCTCTCCGACGCCATCGCAAGCTCAGCCACCGCACACGGAGCAAGTATCTTCACTGAAAAGGTGAACAGCCCCTCTACCCCACCCCAATTTTTGGCAAGGATCTTAGAATAGAACAAATTATCGGATTTGGAGGGTCCCTCATTTTACTGATGGACAAGGCCTGGCTCAGGATCGAGGAGCTCGGGCTCTGCAGCCTGTACTGCTGTGAACCAGGTCCCAGTTCTTCTGCCTACCCCATTTGAATTCACAGCCACTATCCCACGTTTGGGCTGAGCCTTTGCATTGGAGGGGTGGGCTAACGCCTCACCAGGAGCTGCAGAGAATCGGGGCCAGGGCTGATGAGGCTGTGAGGGCCTAGGAGCAGCATGGACAGCGGAAATCCCCCAAGACTCACCCTGCACTTCCCTGCCCGGGGACCCTGGGGGCTCTTTCCCGTGGCTTTAGACAGTGGCTAAGGTGCAGGTGAGCAGTGGAGGGCGCGTTCAAGGAGTCGTGCTGCAAGACGGCTCGGAGGTAAGGAGCAAAGTGGTGCTGTCCAGCGCGTCACCGCAGATCACCTTCCTGAAGCTGACACCACAGGTGAGGCTGGGGGTGGAGGTGAGATGTCTACCTGGGGTTGGAATGTGGAGGGATGAAGGGGACCAGGGCTGCATCAGGGTGGGAGATGTGAGTGCCAAGTCTCTCCGGATGTGGGGAAATCTGTCTTCTCTCCTTACCTAACGGGCAGGGAGCAAACAGCAAAGAAGCCTCACAGGTGAGGGGAAAGGTCCGGGGACGTGAGGTGACCGAGGCCAGGCAGTTAGCAATCGGCAGAGCCAGAGCTAGAACTCAGGTCTGACTTTCAACCCAGGGTTACTTCTACAGCTTTCCTGCTGTCCTGATTTCTCCCCTCTAACCAGCTCTAATTCCACTGTTTGTGTCAGTGATCTGTTGCCACATGAATGCTGCATAACAACCACACAGCTTCTGGGCATATCAAGAAATACGGATTTAGCACACAGAGCGGTAGAAATCAGTTGATCTTGGCTGAGTTCAAGTGATTTGGGCTCACTCATGCACTCCTCCAGCAGCTGCGGGTCACTAGTGGGCCCTGCTGATGGCTGTGGCTAATCGAGAGGTCTCTGTCAGAATGTCCAGGATGACTCAGCTCTGCTCCATGTGTCTCTCATCCCCAGGCACGGTAGTCCAGATCTGGCAAAAGGCAAAATTGAGCAAACTCAGTCACGCAAGTGCTTCTGTTTGCATCCTATTTGCTAACATTAGCTTTGTCTCATGGCCAAGCTCAGTCACAGTGGGAGGGCAATAAAAAGGGGTGTGCATACAAGGAGGGTTGGGGACTTGGGGCAGTTTTTGCAATTGATCACACCTTCCCTGTCCCCCAAAGATATGATAATATGTGTATGAGCATGGAGCTCCCAGCGATTTGGGGATTATTCTTGGGGACAAGGCACCACTTTTTCTGAGTGATTCCACTAATCAAATTCAGCAAACATCAGTTCAAAAGCATCTTGAGACAATTTTGAGATCATCAAGACTTCCAAGAGCTTACAGACCAGAGGTGAAAGACGCTGCAGCCCACGGGCCATATCCATAGCAGGAGCTGGTGTGGGCCATTTACAGCCAGGACGCTGGCAGACTGCAAAGGAAGAAGTGGTTAGCGCTGAGCTGGAGGGGTCCAGGAGGGCTTCACAGAGGAAGTGGTTTGGCCGAGCTCTGAGTGAGGGAGAGGGTCTCCAGCAGTACAGGTTGAGGGATCAGTCTGAGCAAAGGAGTAAAGCAGCCCCCTTGGGGCCTTGGCCACCCCCAGGGTAGAACCTTCTTCTTTCAGGAGTGGCTTCCTGAGGAGTTCGTGGAGAGAATCTCCCAGCTGGACACCCAGTCGCCTGTTACCAAGATCAATGGTAAGAGGCACACCAGATTGTAGAGCTGTTTCTTTTGAGGTGATCTGAGTGAGAAATCTTCATGTCTGGGAAAGACTGGCCTTCATCATCATCTCTATCCCCTGCCCCACAGCCTGCCCCCCAGGTTGAAGGTGAAACACTTTTTCATACTTTTTCTTTCCAGTCTACCATGTGGGTGAGCAGGTGATGGGTAGAGATAGAGGACCCTGGGGGGCTGAGGACACAGGCCTTTGGGCCCTGACCCTCCTCTTTGGTCCCTCAGTGGCTGTCAACAGGCTGCCTGACTTCCTGGCGGCCCCCAATGCTCCCAGGGGCCAGCCACTGCCCCATCACCAATGCTCAATCCACCTGAACTGTGAGGACACCCTCCTTCTCCATCAGGCTTTTGAAGACGCCATGGATGGCCTGCCTTCCCACAGGTGGGGACCCTGGAGACACTTGAGCCCCTGGTTAGAGCACAGGAGGTGTGGTGGGACGGCAGGGACCGCGCTCATTCACCATCCTGGCCTGGGAGGGACCAGAGAGCCCCGAGCCTGCCGGTCTGGCTGGGGACAGGGGCCTGGAGATGAGGGAGCTCCCCGTGGGTGGTCTGGACTGTCCTGGTGGTCACCGAGCCCGTGCAGGCAAACACCACCATGACCTTGCAGAGATCATCGGCCCGGCCCCAGCATCCTCCCATCTCAGGCCTTCATTTTGTCCCGTCATCTCAGAGTGGCTCCCCAGCCCCTTCCCTCTCTCCTCCCCGTGTCACACGCAGACCTATGATTGAGCTCTGCATCCCTTCCTCGCTGGACCCCACGCTGGCTCCCCCTGGCTGCCATGTCATCTCCCTCTTCACTCAGTACACGCCCTACACACTGGCTGCAGGCAAGGCCTGGGACGAGCAGGAGAGAAACGCTCACGCAGACAGAGGTAAGGAGGGCTAGACCGCCCTGGCTTCACAGTGACAGCTGGCCGAGCGTCCCGAATGGCCTCCTCTCCTCCTGACTGCCCCATTCAGGATTAACACCTGCAAGTTCTTTGCCAGGGAGAGAGGAGTACCCAGGGAAACCTAAATCAACACAGTGAGTAACTGCTGGGGTCAGGCCCTGGGTGAAGAAAGCCAAAAAGACATCGTTCCTGTCCTCAGTCCTGCGGGGGAGACTAACAAACCAGTCTTACAGTACAACGGACTGGGGGAACCAAAGGAGGAAGCTGTGAGCCAGAGAGACAGGAGAGCTTTCCAAAGGAAGGGACATTTGAGCTGGGTTTTAAAGGATGAATAGGAGTCGACCAGGCAGCAAAGTGCATTCCAAGCAAAAGAAATAACTTGAGCAGAGTAATGAGGTGAAGAAATTTTTGCATGTTCAAGGGGAGACAAGTGTTTAGGGTTGGAGTAAAAAGGTGGGAAATAGTGGGAGGTTCTACTAGCCTGACACCCATAGGTCTCTGCAATGAATTGTTTATTTGTCTGTGGACTGTTTTTGTTTTTTTGCTTATTGAGGTATAATTTGCATATGAAAAAATATCCATTTTAGGTGTAGAGTTTAATGAATTTAGTAAATATGCCGAGCTGTACAATCGTAATGCCTCTTTCTCCTAACACCATCTCTTTTCCCTGTGTTCGACACCTAGTGTGCGATTGCATTGAGGCCTACGCCCCCGGCTTCAAGGGCTCCGTGGTGGGCAGAGACATCCTCACACCCCCTGACTTGGAGAGAGTCTTTGGGCTTCCTGGGGGGGTGAGTACAGGACTGGGGTCTCTCGTCACACTCTCCCTGTACCCCGACTCCCTGGCAGGCCCACGCGGCTTTATCTTGTCCGTCCACACCCAGCCTTCGGCAGGAAGAGAGGACAGAGGCAGAGACCACGGCAGAGAGGGGACGGAGACACCGTCAGGTTTAGGCAGCGAGGGAGGAGTGAGGAGAGGCAGCCCCTGCTGAGCAGGCCACCAGGACTGCGCCCTGCTGCCTGCATGTCCATGTCAGCCCCTCCCACCTGCCTTTCTTCAGAGGGACCTCCCCTCCCCCAGGCAGCTGTGCTCACACTTCTCTTATCAAAAACTCACTGAGCCTGGAGGCAGGGGGATGGGTCAGGAGGCCAGGTCAAATACAGCAGTGACTAGCTTCGTGTGGCTATTGCGCCCTTAAATGTGGCCAGGCCAAAATGAGATGGGCTTCGAGTATAAAATGCGCCCCAGATTGCAAAGACCGAGTACAGAAAAATGTAGCATGTCTCATCAATAATTTTAATACCAACCACACGTTGAAATGATAATACTTTGGATCTATTGGCTTAAATTAAATATCATTTAATTGGGTTAAATTAAATATATTATTAACATTAATTTCACCAGTTTCGTTTTAAGTGTTAATGTGGCTACTGGAAAATCTAAAATTACATGTGCGGCTCCCGTTATATTTTTACTGGACAGCGCTGGGCCGGATAGAGAGTGAGAGAGGCCAGGCAGTGGGAAGGGAAGGGAAAGGGTGGAGGCGGAAGGCTTGGGCAGGTGGATTGAGAAGTCTCGATAAATGTGCGTGCAGAGGGCGGGTGGAGGGGACGTAAAGGGTCCACCTGAAGGCCAAGGACGGGGAGGCGACGCCATCCACAGAGGCAGGGAAGACGGGACAGGAGCCGACTCGAGGGAAGAAGACGAGCTCAGTTTGGGACACGTTGATGGGGCAGGTGAAGGTCATCCCCCACGGGGACGTCCAGCAGATGTTGGTCTTTTTGTCCAGACCTGCCCTGCAGGTGTGCCTTTCCCCCTCCCCCACACCTCCTCCCTCCTCGGCTGGTCTGACCCAGGCCAGTGGAGCAGAACCGCGCTCAGCTCCCAGTATCCATCCGCCATTTACTGTGACCTTGGAACCCCAGGGCACAAGCTCAGTTGGGTGTCTTGGCCAAAGAAACATGTACCAGAGTCAAAATAAATCAACTTCCTCTATTTTTCAAACAGAGTGAGGGGGATTCAGAGTCCACAGCAACACCTTCAAAATCTCCCTTTTCTTTCCCATTCAGTTTCCTTACCCTCTGAAGATGCTCCCTACCCTTCTTCCTTCTTGAAAAATGCCTCTAGGAAACTTCACCCCCAGCCCTAGGACTTGTGCCTATTCTCTCTCTTCCCCTCCTCATTCTGCATCACAAGAGCCCGAGAAAACATCCTGGAAGGAGAAGAACCTTCCTTGGAGAACAGGGGAGGGGAGCGGGGTGGAGAATGTAACACTCCTATGTTAACGACTGTGGCCCTGCCTCCTGCAGAATATATTCCACTGCGCCATGGCCCTGGACCAGCTGTACTTTGCCCGCCCTGTGCCCCTGCACTCCAGCTACCGCTGCCCTCTCCGGGGCCTGTATCTCTGCGGAAGTGGGGCCCATCCTGGTGAGTGACCCTCGGTCCCGTTACCCTGTGCGGGCATCGAGGGCTGGCAGAGGCTTGCAGATGGGAGCAGGGTAAACAAGGGGGGAAGTGAGAGGGAGGGAACTCCCGGGAGATCAAGCCATCACCCACGTTGAGAATTCTCCGGCCACAACCCTCAGGTTAGCTCACCTCCTCCCCACGAGGCCTGGGGATACGTCCCAGTGGAGGCATCTCTCCAAGTTCCCATGGTGGGTTGTGTAAGACCCATGCCTCTAAATTCCCATCCGTATTTGAGACCAGTAAGAATCGGCAAAGTTCAGTTTCTCAATTTTAAAATTCTTCCCTGCTCCCTTCCCAGGCCTACTGACCCCACGGAAGCTCATCTCATACAGATGCTTCCTCTGAGCTATGTGGGCCCCGGCCCCCCAGACAGGGTCCATACTTCCATGACTTCCTCTCAAATCCTTAATCCCTCATTCTAGTTTCACGTGCTGGGAGTCTCACCATCTGGCCCATTGGCTCTCAGGCTGGGGGGGGCGGAGGGAGGGGGCCACTTGCTTGGACCAGGCACCTGGCCCTTCCTGCACTGATGCAGGGGAGTCCAGGATCTGTCTTAATAATCATCCCAGGTGGTTCTGATACCCACGGCCCCAGCATCACCCTTCAGGCGTCCCTGCTCTGCTTTGTGGCTGGTGCCTCAGCAAGTTCCATGGGGGGACGGAGGGGTGGGAGGGGGGTGAGCATGGCTTTGGTTCATGGGAGACTCCCTTCCAGGAGGAGGTGTCATGGGAGCCGCTGGACGCAATGCAGCTCACGTGGTCTTTAGGGACCTCAGGAGCATGTGACCCCCAAACCAACTCTGACCCAGGAAGATGAATTCACCCTTGAGATGTTAAGTCTCCATTGGGTCAGCTTCCCAGGATATGGCTTGAGGCAGGCAAGTCCTCAAGGCTCAAGCCACTATTCTAGAAAAAACAGTACGAGTTACATTGGGTCTCAGTTAACCTCGCATCTATGGCTTCTTGAATGAACTGGTTTTGTTTTATATCAATAGTTTGCATTTTTCTGTGTATTAGTACAATAGGTAATATGTAATAACCAGATGGGATAAACTTGTCTGGGGTACCCAGTAATCTCACAGCATCAGCTCCAAACAGTCCATCTGATCAACAAGCATCCTCTCCGCACTGTCGGGCCCCTTCTACCAGCTGATTGAAGGACTGCCCTGGGGAGGCCCAGTCTACTGCTGTCACATTTCTGGCAAACTGTATAAGAAAGGACCCAATTCCCCAGTGCCCCACAAAGTCACCCACAGGGGCCTTGGCCTGAGCAGTGCATGGCCTCTCAGGCCGTCCAAGCTGCCAGAGTCAGACAAACAGCAGTCAGGGTGAGTGCAAGGCGGGTGCAGCTGAGGGCCGTCTGGGGACCCACATTCCCAGTTCTGGAGATTCAACCGCTTACTTCCCATGAGCGAGCCATACCCGTCACATCACCAAAATCTTTCCACATAAACTTGTGTTGTTCTGAAGTGAGTTGGGTTGTCACTCTTGATCAGAAAGTGTCACACAAATGTCCCATGGTAATCCAGCTGCTTCCATCCCAGCAGCCAAGGCCGTGGTCCCGAGCCCCCATCAGCAGAGGAGGTGCAACATTCCCTGGGGCATCACCTCCCTCCCTTTCCTGGGCAAATTTATAGATTAACAAATACCTGCCTTATTACTTAACCTCGATAAACCCAGATCTGTCATCTGTAAAGGGGTTGTTCTAAAGATCAAATGAGACAATAGATCATGGTTTAGTCCACCGTCTGGCACAAGATAAGCATTTGGTACACAGCGGTGGTCTTGCTGCTGGTATTGATGGTGGATTCTGGATTCTGCAGAAAGCAGTCTTTTTGACATCCTTTTTTTTTAACCAGCCCACTAGAAGCAGTGTGACCAGGGCAGAGCAGAGCAATCTTTGGGTCCACCAAG